ACTGACTAGGTTACTTTTAAACATATAACACTGTCAAAAGTGTTAATTTAAAACTCAACAGTGTTGTATTTAACACTCAGAGGTGTGGACCCATATAGACACTCTCCAGTGTTAATTTAACACTGGAGTTTTTGCTGTGTGTCAGGTTGTCATTGGCATCCATTCAGTCAGAGGACAAAAAATAATTTCTTGGTTACATTTGACCTTTCTGACTTTCTCCCTTTGGGGTCATAACCAGCGACGACTTAGGGTCCGGGCGTGCAGAGTGGTCGGTGACCCGCTGTTACCAAGTAAAAGATGTGTGTTACCTGAGTGTGAGTAGTTGCTAAAGCCACATCCACACAGGCCTAGAAACAGTCAGTAACCTCCTGCTGACTCCCAGTTGGTGGATGGTTGCAGCAGGTTGTTGCTTTAGTGACTAAAGTCACCAGCATGGAAGAGGCCGACTTGTCTGCAGACACTCACCAAACTAGAAACAGAGTCTGTTCCCCTTCAAAGTAAAAGTTGTGCCTTATAAAGTATGTTGTTTTCAGCGGTAGGACAACTTTTACTTTGAAGAGCAAAAGACGAGTGCCTGCAGACAGCTCAGCATCTTCCCTGAAACCTCTGGGTGACCACAGCAACCTGTCAGTGACCAAAGCAACTACGAGTTGGTTCTACAACTTTTTAGCTTAGAGACAAACACCAACTTACCAGCCGGTCATGGATTACATACTGGGTCACAGCCAGGTTCTCTTAGGAACATCTCGTCACATTACCAAAGAGCTCCTGTGATAGGACGGACAGGAGTAGGTGGAGATAAAAGGTCAAGGTAAGGAACAGGCTTAAGTTAGTGATGGTGCTTTACCTCAGACGAGTTCATCCACAAACACAGGACAGGAAACAGTTTCAATCAGGCTAAAATTAGAAAAACATCATTTTTTTTTGACTCTCAGGACTTCCAGATTATCTTGTTAAGCTTGAATGTCCTCCTTAACCCTGGAAACGAGATGTCAACAAACACTCCAGCTGAGCTCTTTGTCTTCAGTTCAAACTTTCTTATTGTTTCATTGCATTATCTGAACTCTTTCACTGGCAGGAAGTATTCGAATAGGCTGGACATTGAAGTCTCGGCTTTATTTGAACATCAGTGGCTTTGGGCAATGATCTGTATAATGTCCATCCATGTGGACGTTATTTAGCGGTCCAGGCACACCCTGTCATGGAAACGGTACTCCCTGATGGTCTTGATGCAGGCTCAATCCTTCAGGTAAGTAAATCCCAAAGGTTGATTGTGTTCATCCGGATGTTTTCAGTGGGAGAAGTGTTTCGTCACTAACCTTATAAACAATACATTTGCACAACGACTGAAACTAGCCCACTGAATGAACAATGGGGGTTTATAAGGTTGGGCAAACCTACAGTCAGCTGAGACTGAAGAAGTCAGTTGGATGAAACGTTTCTCCCACTGAAAACATCCAGATGAACACAATCAACCTGTTTGGGGTACTCTCTGATGGCTGCAGCCTCTTTCAGCAGGATAATGTGCCCTGCCACAAAGCAAAGGTGGTCCAGGAAGGATTTGAGGAGCCCAATCACAAGTGTGAAGTGTTGACTTGTTCTCCAAATTCCCCAGATGGTAAATGGTCCTTATATAGTGTCTGTGTAGGTTCCTAGTGAGCCAGGCCATGGTGGTCTAAGGAGCTCGGATGGAAAGCGACTGTTGAGTTTCTTGGAGGTGTTTCAGCTCTTATCCAAGAAGCTTCTTCAGTTCAGTTTTAGAACTGAAGAAGCTGGAGCCCTGAAGCACACCTTCAGGGGTTATCCCTGTTCAGTAGTGTTTTTAAAAGCTCGGTTTTATTTTACTTTAGTTAATTGAAATGTTTTTTCAGGTCTAGTTTTAGACTTGAGCTTATTTCAGTTAGCTACGATGACATTGGGCAGAAGTGAAGTAAAAATATTGAGCAGACCTGCCTGAATCAGAGATGCTGTTATCTGCAGCTCTCTGTTGTGATGCTGTCTGATCTTCACACCGAGTCTGGTGAAGGATATCGACCTCTCAGCCCTGAGGAGCTCTTCGGTTTCTTTGACCGGATGTTTCTGACTTTCGTCCTGCTGAAAAGAGAAACGTTGTCTAAAGACTTCCTGAAGCATTTGTCTGAATAAAAGCCCGCAGATCACCTCGGGATAGCTCTGCACTGACTCAGCTGCCTCTGCATCCCAGCCTTAAATCAAAAGGTTAAAGGTCACGGCTGGTCCACAGCACCTAACGATTTGAAAAGGTTCTATTTTTGAATTGTGTTCAGTCCTGATGGTCGGAGACAGCATCATGTAAAGGAAGATTTCATCTGCCCGAGGAGGTGGACACACATTGGGCTCATGGCCATAAATCTGTCATTTCATAGTAGCTAAATGAGCCCTTCCTAACTGTGAAACTTCACTAAAATGTTCACGTTTCCTTCGGTGTTGTCACGCAGTCCGATCTCTGACCTACTGCTTCTGCAAATAACCAGGCCAGAGTCACAGCCACCATCAACTTTAGTCTTTATTGTACAATAATGCACTTCAACAAGGCTTGGGAATATGGCACACGAAAAGATTTCACATAAATCATTTTCCAGCTAAGAATCCGTCTCAGGTCTTAATCGCTAAGCTTTACCAGTGAGCAGCGTCGATATGAACAGCAAAGTATTACACGCAGGCCTGATTTTACAAAAGTCAGCAGAGGATGTGGTTTTTATCCATCACAGTGAAACTGTTTTGCCACAGTTTGATGCAACAGAAATTCAAAGGTCGATAAAGTTCGTCTGACTCGTCCGTTCGGTTATTGAGCTTTTGTTCGTCGATCAGACTGTGAAGCAGCAGGTTAGAAAATGTTCCAGTGAGATGCAGGTTTTCAGCTGAAACACTTCAAAGAGCCAATAGTTTAATACAGAAATAAAAAAAATTAATCAATGAACAGTGTCACATAAACAGCCTCGGTCTTCGGCCTGAACACAGGGTCAGGACAAACATGCAGAGTGGGTCACTACACAGATAGTTTCACCATGCCCCGTCACATCGCTGCAAGAAGAAAGAGTCGGCTTCAAAAGAACCGCTCAGCTGGAGCTGCCGGCAAATCACCAAGAAGCTGCCCGAAGCCCGACTGTGGAGCTGCAGGGGAAACTGGATCTGCAGCCGTTTTCTCATCGTTTTTATAGAATCACAGGGCCAGGATCACAGCAGCGCACACGGCCCACCCCTCCACGTTTATATATTGCTCAGGTGTGAAAAGTGGGTGGGATGTGTCCCAGATCTTTTGCATGATTTGAAGCTGGGTTAGAAACAAAGTGAGCAAAGAAGGTGCAATTATTTAAATTCAGCCAGTCTCTCCTTCAAGCTCAGCTCTGTGTGCACCTCTGGACCTTTCCCAGGATGTCCGGTTCTACAGCGAAGAGTTTGAGTCAGTGGAAAGAATGCGGTGTGCAGCTCAGAGGCAAAGTGACCAGACGTACAGTGATGATCGAAACAGGAAGTGGTCCAGAGGTGCACAAGGAGGCGACTCTGAAAGGAGTCCCGCTGATTGTACTTTGTGTGACGAGACCTCGGATCGATGAAACAGGCACGACTTTACAGACGTCCCAGTGTCCGCAAAGGCTAAAGCAGCAAAATGTGAACACTTTGATTATTTAAAGATTTCAAGTAAAACATGCACTCCTTTACTGATTTATGACAAATCCTCTCCAAATACCTCCATCACTTTCACGGTGACTGAAGCTGAGAACTGCTGATTCTGATCGTCTGGCAGCTGCACGCTGGTGCACACGCGTGTGTTTTTTGGGAGGAAAGAGCGAGTCTCAGCTAAAAAGCTCCGAGTGAGCACCGTTTGTCTGAACAGAAAAGATAATCACGTAATTAGAATTTGCAGGTCTGAGCGACAGCTGCAGGGCGAGTGCGAGCGGGGCTGCAGAATGAAACGAGGCAACGTGGAGGAGGACGAGACACAGACGTGTGAAACAGAGAACGAGCGACACAGTCTGTGACCGCTGTCAGTGGAAGTTTCTGCTCTCTTTGACTAAATGTAATGTTTACAGAGCAAGTGGTCACGGCGGCTGGAGCAGATTACGTTAATGTTGTGCAGGAACGTGATGACACGGTGCTGCTGTGCAGTAAAAGCTGAAATCAAACTGTGTGAAAGATGGTATCAGGGGATGGTGGAGGAGACCGAGGACAGGATGAAGGTGGAGAACAAGGCTGCAGCTTGTCAGAGACAAAAACATTCAGACTCAGTTTGGAGATGCAATCATTCCCATGACAACGTCCTCTGCCGCTGTCGCTCGGAGCTTTAGACAACTTCAGTCTGAGCAGGGCTGCTTTTTGTTCATGTAACACCACGTCACAACGTTTATCTCAGGCTGATTTAGATGGTAAGGAAAGGCCCTACTATACAAGCAGGACTCGATGAGTCTGGGGAAGAAGAACTCCCTTTTAACAGGAAGAAACTTCCAACAGAATGAGGATCGGAGAGGGAATCTGCTGAGACAGAATAAAGTTTGTGACAGAGCTAATGCAGCAGCATAAAGTCACAGTGAGAGCATCACAAACCATCAGCAGAATAACTAAGGGAGGATCCAGGGTCACCTGGTCCAGCCCTAACTATATGCTTTAGCAAAAGGAAAGTTTGAAGCCTAATCTTAAAAGTAGAGATAGTGTCTATCTCCTGAATCCAAACTGGAAGCTGGTTCCACAGAAGAGGGGCCTGAAAACTGAAGGCTCTCCCTCCCATTCTACTTTTAAATACTCTAGGAACAAGTAGGCCTGCAGAGCGAGAGCGAAGTGCTCTAATAGGGTGATATGGTACTACAAGGTCATTAAGATAAGATGGGGCCTGATTATTTAAGACCTTGTATGTGAGGAGCAGGATTTTGAATTCAATTCTGGATTTAACAGGAAGCCAATGAAGGGAAGCCAAAACAGGAGAAATCTGCTCTCTCTTTCTAGACCCTGTCAGGACTCTTGCTGCAGCATTTTGGATTAGCTGAAGGCTTTTCAGTGAGTTTTTTGGACATCCTGATAATCATGAATTACAGTCGTCCAGCCTGGAAGTAATAAAAGTGTGGAGTAGTTTTCCTGCAGCCCATTTTGTCTCATTTTCTGCTGAAACCAAACTTTAGTCTTTGTTTTTTCTTAATCATGGCAGTGATGCAGTCATGTATTTGTGTTCATTTCTCCTGCTAGAGGAGGTCAGTGGGGCCCAGGGAGTCTCCTCACAGCTTCATTTTGCTTTTCCTGTTAAATGATGACTTTCACGGGGATTAGAGGTGACGCTGTGCAAGAAAAGCCCCATCCAGGAATAGTCTAACATGAGGGGTAAAAGCCTTCATCAGTCATTAACTGTGTCCCGATTAACATTCACCTCAAAGACATTCAGACAGTCCAAACAAGAAGCTGCAGATTTAAAAATAGAGGCATGTTAATGAAACACTCCAATCCTCTGTGGATGTACCGGGAAGTCTGACAGGTGCGTTTAAGGCCCGACCAAATCCTGTCGGTTTACACAGATCATCATCAACGTCGTCACTGAAGCCTTTCTGTGTGCGGCTTGCTTCAAGCTGCTCATGGCAAAAAAAACATCATCTTATCCCAGCAAGGCTAAAAATCCAGAATTTCAAACATCACGAGCAACTCTGAGGCCAGATTTACTAATCAGGTGCATTCGGCAGGTGATCCACCAGCAGTGCACCAAATTTACACAAAGACACAGCCAGTTTAGTTCAGTAACAGGCAACGCAACCAGGCAACTGAGCAACAGAGCACCAAGCAGGTCAAAAATAAGCGATGACAAACGTGACGCAGTGCATCTGCAGATTCACATCAGTTCTACCATCTAAACCTGAACTCGCGAACAGCTGACGAACAGCTGACCTGAAGGATGCTCAAACATTTCCTGACCGATCCAAGTGTTAGTGAGGTTACTGTTACTGCTCCCTGCAGCCAGAAGCTGCAGGCATTTCTCTAACACAGGTCAGAGCTCCTTAAAACGACATTTCACACTCTGAGCTCTCTGATACTCTTAAATTTAACACTCTGAATTCAAGTTCAATAACACCAGCAGGCCTCCGTCACACAGGCCCAGAGACCTGGTCGCTGACTGGCTGCTGGAAGCTGCTGGAGGTTTACAGTGCTGCACCTGAAACCTCCATGAGATTATTTGGATGAGCAGCAGATTTCCGCAGTCGTTGAGTGTCCGCACAAAAGAAGAAAAACATCTCATGTGGAGTCAAACGTTTTCCATTTCTCTGTTTGTAGAGCGGCGATGCAACCCAAAAAACACCAACCAGAGAAAATCTGACTCCAACGTAAAAGCTCTGCTCTACTGTGGCAACCAAAACATGCAACTTTTATTCTGAAGGCGAGTTTGAGCAGCGGTTGGTGAGTGTTTGCAGACGTGTCAGCAATCACAGACATCTGTGGGGCAGCGCCCTCTTTACAGCTGATTTCACTCAAGGGTTTCTGGCAAACTGGTTGGAGATGCTCATTTGTCCCTAGCAATCTCAGGTTGCCGGAGGTCACTGATTAGTCCCTGTGTGAGGGGCCAAGACCTTATTACAGTATCTCGTCAACAGCAGCTTCATGAAAACCAGAAAAAAGCCTAAAAGTGATGAACCGTTAGTAAATCTGGCCCTCGTTCCTCATTTTCACTTTTACATTAAGAACAACAAGACTAAATGTGAGGACGATTAGCCTGTCAGACCTTTATCAGCAACATCGTGCATAAAACAGACTTTCAGCCGCTCTCATCAGTGACCTGACATGTCTGCGATGTCTTTGGAAGGTGCTGCCTGTCCCATTTTTTAGCTCAGTGAATGATAACCACATTCATCATGTAATGATTGAACAGCAGAACCACTGCTGGGATGACTGGCAGCTCCACCTGCCTCCCCGCTGGCTGCACTTCGCTTTGGATTCAGAGGGAAATCTCCTGGATTGCTTTGCTTTTCAGCACAAACAGAGCTGAAGCGGTGACAAACGGCGGCGGGGAGCGAGGAGAAAAACGTCTCCAGCATGTTTATCCTCCTCAGAAAAGCCAAAGATGGCAGGGGGAGGATTACAAAAGAAGAAGTCTGTACTCTGAGCAGAAATAAACCCAGTGTGAGACAAAGACGACCAATCATCTCAGCCGTGGTCTTGCTGTTTATGGCACTTAAAACCGAACTACCTGATGATTAAAAATGTTACACATAAAACCTCTGCATGAGTCTAAGACTGCATTTACAATCAAAATCTGGCTGCATAAATAAAAATCAAACTCAGCCATTATTATACATTTAAACACTCCAGCCCGCTCTCGCTGGCAGGGCGTCAAATAACGGCGTCTGTCAAACCGCTGGTGTTAGAGAAACCACAGACTGTATATAAAAGATGGACCCAACCACTGCACTAACAGTTGGTTTAACAAGCCCCCATGTGGAGCCTCCGATTGAGCATTTTAGCGGAGCCCCAGCTGGGCCTAAAAACGAGACTCTTTTCTATACTACAACCTGAGTTAGCGATTGTATGTTATTGTCATTTTTCACATGTAGCTGAAAAAGCAGTGGCTCCATCGTGTTTCCACATTCACCTAACGAATCAAAGCTTTCTGGTTCAGTCGTGGGAGGAGAGACATATCCCTTTGAGGTTGTGTCAGGAACAGTAAGATTCCCCCAAATCAAACACGCTGAAGTAGCTGTTTATTAAAAGAGCCTCAAACAGTAGAAGAAAGTGTAAATAAATAAATCTTTGTCGTGATTCAGTGATTTCCCAGCACTACATGCTCCCTGCCTGTCTCTGCAGCCTCTGTGTGCTGAGATCTCTGCACTCCATGTTCCATCTGTGCCACACATTAGCTGTTAATAGCGCTACATTAATTGCACCACCCTCCAGCCTGTGCCAGTTGAAGCCACCGAGGTTAGCAACCTGCGGCTGGGAGCATCGCACAGACACAGATACCTAATGATCAGCGCTAAATAACATAATAAAATCCCAGCAAACTCTCGCTCTGCCTTCATGGACAGTCTGTTAGTAGAGTGACCTTACAGCAGCCATGTTATTGATCGGATGATGTCGTATAAAATGCTTCAACAGCTCAAAAACAGTCCAGATGTCCAGTTCAGGTGAAGCTAGCAGAGAGCTAGCAGCTAGAGCAATCTGTGTCACCATCCACCTGTCAGTCAAAGAGGCCACGCCCCCAATAATCTAAACAAGTGAGGTCCTAACCCCCCCCGGTGTAGGGTGAATGCAAACGTGTTTATTTCTGCTGTAAAGTTTTAACGTGGGAGTCTATCACTGCTGGAGCCCCTGCTGGACGTTAGAGGAACTGCACATTAAGCACTGACTGCACACGTGCCGAGTATCCTGAAACATCTTTTCAGTGTGTCGTGTTGCAAACATATTTTAACCCAAACATGACCGCGGTATTTGGTGGATAAAACCAGCCGGCAGAATTTTATTGATCACTGCCAACTCTCCTGCTTCTACATGTGAATTTGGCAGCTGTTTCAAATTTGACCCTCACCAAAAGACACCTGACAGGTATCAGTGAGACACCAGCAGGTTTGACAGAACAGCCGTATTTGACTCCCTTTGAATGAAGGCGCGTTAAACATAGAATATAGCATGTATCTGTAAGCATATTGCTCATTTATAACATTCACAATTTCAGTCTAAGTGATAAATAAACCATTTAAATTAAACTCTATTGTTAAATCCTTCAATTAGTTGTTCACACTCGTCACACACACTCACATATATATATATTAATACTTTGCTCAATAATTATCTCCATGTTCAAAATATACTATCACACTGTTAAATACACTGTAAACTTGGCTGTGATTATAAAACACACCATAGACTGTAGAGATCAAACTCAGCCAGTTTGTAAAAGTCCGTCTTCAAAGACGTGGGGGAGCAGGCGAGACGTTTACACTCTTACATCCGTAAAAATCAGAGAGCAGCAGAAACCACTTTCTCCTACTCAGATCACTTTACGGATCACTGTGATTTAATTCCAGCATGGCTCTAATAGTATAAGATGTGAAATCAGTCTGAAGGTGGATCTTCCCTCAGAGTACGTTCAGCAGAATAAAACTCCAACAGAATTATTCGAATCTGTTATTTTAACAGACGTGGATGTAACGTGTGAGTGAAAAAAACAACCGACAGTCAGTAAAACTGTACAGGAACGGTGCTGTTTCTGTGAAGACCGTCCCAACTTAAAGTGATATATGATAATAACAATAACTTGTTGACTAACTGAAGAAAATGCAACGCAGCCTTTACAAGGTCATCCAAGGCAACGGCAGCAGCGAGACACAGAATTCGGAACGGACAGGCAAAAGCTGCAGGTCTACAGGAGCTAAAGTTCGCCTCTACCTTTCTTCAGCCCATCAAAAGCTTCTCCAAACAAGCTTTTCTTTCAGAAATCAGCCGGATGACGATGACGATGGTGACGACGATGAAGACGATGAAGATGAAGGGGTGGGTCTGTACATCTCGCCACCTCCGAGTTCAGTAAACCTTCCCGCCAATGACGACATCGCCTCCCTCTCTTTGTCCTTCTTGCTTCCCGTGCACACCGACCTCTGAGCAGGTTTAAACTGCCACGTCACCTTCTTCGTCAATGACTGCTCCACGGTCGACATCCTCTTCAACGGTGGAGTGGCGGGTTGAGTTGCCATGGGGACGGACGGTGTTGCTGCCATGCTGGTGGTAACCCCGGAAACTCTCTCTGCTATGCCGTTGTTGTTCCTGTCTTGCTCCGTGAAGAGCTCGCTCAGCACTTCGGGTTCAGTGGTTTCTCCGAATAAATCCCAGTCAGGTTCAGCGGGCAGCCGCTTCGGACGGCCAGATTTGCTCCCAGTGGCGGAGGTCCTTGACGAGCGGCTCGGATCGGAGTCGGACAGGTCCGAGTCCCAATCGCTGTCCCCTGCCACTGAACCGCAACCCAGCACAGACACATCAGCAGCTCCCGAACCTGAGCTCTCCGAATCGGACTCCCTAAAAAACAGAAGAGAAAGCCAGATGTACCCCTCTGGTATCTTCATCATTTGTGCTTTTTAAAAGCACTAAAGCTCTGCTTTTAACCTGGTGCTCATCAGCGCAGGCTCATTCAGACTGATGCGAGTGATTGATTGGAATGTTGGTAATCTGTGTGTGATTATAAATCAAACTGATTATTTCAAACCTTTACCAATCTGTCTCAGAGTGATTGCAGTCAGTCTGAGTCAGACTGTGATGGGAGACAGGTTGCCTCTCACAGGGGAAGATATTACCTTCGGGCAACTAGAATGTCGCCAGTTGGTCACCAAACATTCAATGCAATCACTGAGCAACCACCAGTTTCTCCTGGTGGTAAGGAGGCCGGCAACCTATTTTTACTCTAGTGTCACTGAGACATTAGCTGACAGTGAAAAGATTGCACAAGAAACCAAAACTGAATGGATGATCGGATGATTGTATGGATGGATGGATGATCAGATGGATGATCGGATGACTGGATGGATGGATGGATGGATGGATGATCGGATGGATGGTTTTTATAAATGAATACATCTCTTTCAGCTGAGAGGTGAAGTGTAGACGAGTGCATACTCACTTGCCGCTGTAGGCTGTAGTTCCTGGAGGGCCCAGCAGGAGGCAGGCTGGAGCTGCCAGGTAGACGAAGCTGTCGGTGCACAGGAAATCTCCCTCCTCTGGCTTCTGTGGGGCGAGCTGTGTTGGCTTGGCATCCCAGTTGGGGTTAGGCGGATCCACGTGCGTTTTCGTGCCGTGTGTGTGGTGGTGTATACTGTCCTTTTTCACGTTGTGGGCTTCTGTCACCGTGGTGACTTCACCTTTGGAGGCAGGTCTTGCAGACACAGCAAGGTAAACAAAGCTGTCCGACTGGACGAAGGGATCTATGTCACCACAGTCCAGTCCTGATGTTCTGATTGGCTTCTGGTTGGGATCTAGAAAGTGTTTGATTGGCTGCTTTGAAGGAGACAGAGGAAGAGGGGAGTCTATTCCCATGAGGGTGACTTTTTTCCTGGGGGGCATGTCCTCAATTCTCAGAGCCATGGAGCTCTTAATAACGCTCTGCTCTAACGGCTTCTTGATGACTGAAACCATTCCCATCTTCCCATCCTTCCTTCTGTCCTCGCCTTCTCCCCGCTCTTCATCCTCCTCCATGTTTCCGCGCCCCGCCTCCTCCCTCTCGCCTTCGATGTCTTCTTGCGAGCACGTGTTGAGGAGTGACGGGTAGCACCACTGTAGCTCCGCGCTCTCCTCCCTCCCCCACTCCTTTAACCCTCCATCGTCCCCATCTTTCTCCAGTGACGTGCTGCTGCTGCCCAGGTCGGAACCACTGATTGGCTGGTCACTGTCAGAGCCAGCCTCCTCCTGGCTTTGATTGGATAAGGAGAGGAAAACGCCGCTTGAGTCGGACTCCAGCGTCAGGTTGGAGTCTGGAGAGCTGTCCTCTTTAGCAGAGCTGGAAAAGAAGAAAAGGACAGAAGGCGGTGAAGCATCCCCATGTGTGCTCAGCCCCCCCGAAGCCTTTAAAGTGATAACCCACTTTTCAGATCAAGGGCATTGATTTGTTTTAGCCGCACAGCCCCAAGCCATCGGCACAGATATCCCGGGTGATGGACATATCACTACAAATACATTCACTTTCTAAATTTTGCTGCGGCTGTGACACGGTTTGGTTTGTGTCTTTATTTGTAAGCCATGAGGAATGATCAGGTAGAGACAGGAAAGTTAACTGTGCAGTTTTTAATCAGTTTCTAATAAAACGTGTGACACCTGCAACAGCTTCATATGAATGATTTCATAACAATGCTGATTACAAACACAGTTACAGCAGCTCCAGCCCTCAAAGCTCAGTTTGAAGAATATGATTAGAGATCATTTAGTTGGATGACATTTAAGCTTAAATGATTCAGCTCATCAAGGTACAGCTCGCTCTGTTCTGGGACGTTCACACAAAAGCTAATAACAGCGAATAAAACAGCAGCTCGAGTCCATTAAACAGACAGTCTGATGTTTTTATTGCTCAGTGTATATACTGTACATCACTGTTTGTGCTGCAGTTCCTCAATTTCAGTTTCTCACATGTGATCATTTCAAAGGCAGTGACATCACTGGATTCCCTGCACAGCTGCAGTAACTTCGGTCATCATTATTTTAATAATGGATTGCATTTATATAGCGCTTTTCGAGACCCTCAAAGCGCTTTACAATACCACTATTCATTCACTCTCACATTCACACACTGGTGGAGGCAGCTACAGTTGTAGCTACAGCTGCCCTGGGGCAGAAGCGAGGCTGCCATATCGCGCTATCGGTCCCTCTGGCCATCACCAGTAGGCGGTAGGTGAAGTGTCTTGCCCAAGGACACAACGACCAGGACAGACAGGGCTGGGGATCGAACCGACAACCTTCCCAACCCCCTGAACCACGGTCGCCCCCTGCTCATTTTGACTGTAGTGTGATTCTGGCTCAAAATCAGCCTGGTGTGTAATTAAACCCACCCTGTTTCTGAGTATGAAATCAGAATATGACGTATTTTCATCCATGGAAATCAGTTTTTCTGATCACCTTGACACATCGTTTTGGTCTCCAGTTTAGAGAAACAGCTCTGCCCATTTAGCTGCCAGTGCTGTTTCTGCACTGGTTCCTGTTCCCGTCAGTAATCCCATTACATTCAAACACACCTGTATCTGTCCTCAGTTTACGAGACACAGGACAGGCCTTTGAGGGGTGGAGACATGGCTGATCCTGGATTCTGGCATCTTGCAGTGACACTTCAGGGCTCTAGAGTGCGACCAATTTGGTCGCAAATGCGACCAAACTTTTCAGTGGTCCGACTAAAAAAAAAATTTTGGTTGCACCTGTGCGACCAACTGTTCCGGTAGCAAAAAAATTAATAAATAAAAAATCTGCAACCTTCCCTGTGGTCAACAACAGACACACATTTTGCCCCTATTGTGGACTAAACCAATCAGAGATAGTAAGGGGCGGGACCTCTCTGATTGGCCGTGGTCCAGTTGAAAGTGCAGGTGGAAGTGGGAGGTGAGTAGCTTGAATAAAGCGATATCAATTCATTAAATCATGAATCAACTTTTAAATATAACTGTGTTTTGCCAGAAACGCCAGATTCTCAGATTAAAGCTCACAAAACCATTTCAACAACAACCAAACAGCAAATGAGAGCAGGTACACGGACTCCACACAAAGACGTAAACACAGACCCGACGCATCAGAATCAGCTTTGTCTTTCTCGGCTTTCTCACCCGACGGCCCGTAAACGGAGACGCTGTCGGAGCTTAGCGATTCTGATGTGTCCGGTCCGCGCTGTGATTACGTCTTTTTGCGCTGATTCTGAGCTGCAGGTTTTGTCTCTCCAACCAAAATTCACCGAGCCAGCAGCAAAAGAAGCAGCAAACTGCGCTTCACATTTGATCAATGTCATCGTGAATTTTGCTGTTTTGCTTCCACGACTATTAAAATCACACTTCATGCACAGCTAGCTCTCTCTGTACTTCAAGAACAGTTTCCCGTCTCCAATCTCTGTTTTCTGTATTATTCATTCGCTTATTACCCACCAGTCTACCGTTGTTTACAGCGCTGTGACTGCTGTCTTTTTCTTTTCTTTTTCACTTAAATGACCTCAGACAAGAAAGCCTATTTTTTTGTTGTTCAATACTGAAGAAATTTAAACTTTATATACAGAACATTGTAGAATATTTTTAAGGTTATCTGCTATAAAAAGCCAGACAAGGAAAATCTCCTTCATGTTTTTCTGTGTTTTATTCTCAGTTACTTTCACACAAAGGCATCTGCTGTGATGTTCACAATTCTGATGAAGTCAGTACTGATAAATGATCAGAATTATAATATTTCTGACCATCTGAGGCTAAGTTGAATCGAATCGGGACTTTGAAAACCAGAATCGAATGGATTATAGAAATCAGTGATGATACCCAGCCCTAGTGAGCAGCCTAGGCACGACAGACGTGGATGTAGCTGTAATAGGAAAAGAACTATTGCTAACTTTTCTGTTAAGTTAAGGCCTGATCCTTCTGAAATTCATAGCCAGTGCTCTGACACGGTGTCATAACTCTTTGAATGCTGAAAAAGCACAGTGTATCCAGAAAAACACATTATATTATATAAATTATTATAAAATTTGTGTGCGCCTAACTTTTGTGCCAGTACACCTAACTTTAAAAAGTTAGGTGTACTGGCACATGGCAAAAAGTTAGTCTAGAGCCCTGCACTTTTAGATTCCTTACCTTGTGCCAGTGGTGGACGTCCCGGCAGATTTGGTTGACCAGGAGCCGGGAGGTCTGTCAGCGTCTGTAGCCAGTGAGGCTGTAGTACTGAGCTCCAAGCTGACCTGGGACCTGCTGCCCACCCCTGAAAAGAACATCACATATTTACCTTTTTAAACAGAGAAACAGTTATAACCAGTGCATCCTGCCTTTTCTTCCCCACTGTTTTGTATCCGAGGCTTTCTTTGGTTCCTGGAAGGATCTAAGCAAAGAAAGCCACTGCTCACATGACAATCAAGCAGAAACGCTCCTGTTTTAAAGCCCTGACTTTTCCTTTATGGACCAGTGAATCTGTCACTGCTGCTACAGTTCATGAAGCATTTCCAAATCTCCACCTGGCTCTGACTCAACCGCCCCCACGAGGGGGAAGGTAACACCACTCCCTGCTGTGCTGAACAATTATCACTGCTTTTTATATTTTACATTTACATGCAGGAACATCCATCCACACGACTTTGCTGCAAGTGGCTGCACACCTGAACCTGCAGTTCCTCTACGGTCCAGCAGGGGCTCCAGCAGTGGGAAACAGCTCGGCTCAGGTTTGCCTCCCACAGCAGCATTCCCAACAGTTTTTCAGCTCCTCACTGCAAACTGTTAAAACCTCCTTCATAAACAGGCTTTTGTGAAGCTTTTATAAAGTTTTCATAGATGATTGATCTTCTCTATTATTGACTTTTGTTTGTGTTTCTTCTTTTCACTCTTTTCATGTCTTTTAAATGCTTTGCTGCTGTTTCTTCTAAATTCTGTGAATAAATACATCGATTGGAGGAGCAGGCTTCTGGCACCAGCTCACCACCACCTCCTGTTTTGGTCCAATAATTCACAGCCAGCATCACAGCTAAACTCTGAGTCACAAACAATACAGAACAGCGACTGAAATCCAAAACCTGCTCAGCGTCTGCAGTGTGATTGCACCGGCGGAGCGCAAACAGCGAGCACAAAAGCATCTTTCTCCGGGCTTCGTTTAAAGGGATTAAACACCTGTTGTTGTAAAACAGAAATAAAGAAATACAGCCTAGAAAATCTGAAAATGTTACCCCGACTGACAGACTCGATTTGGTTTGTGTTTTATTGGAGCCAAATTCATTTTAATTTGGAACAAGAAGTCAGTGTGTGACTGCGACGACAGATGTTTCATTACTTTTATCCACCGTGTTTGGACTATAAATTCACTCATGTGGGTCACAGTCACATTTCTCCTCGGACCTCGTGTTCCTTTGTCTCCACCTGTCTTGTTCCCAATCAGCTCTCAGCTAACGAGGTGGTGTTCACCTTCATCCTGCCTGCCTCGTGTTCGTCAGTAAGCTTCACTGACTCCTGTGTTTGTATCGTCTAACTCATCATCTAACGCTTCAGGCTGCCAGCACGTTTGTCAGGTGTGATTTCTAAAGCGGCGTGAACGTCCGTGTGTCGAGTGCGAGTTCCTGCAGGTGTGTGCGGTGTTTACCTGTGTGCAGGCCAGCCTTCTCTCTCTGAGGCCCGGGGTGAGTTTGGTACATGTCCGCTCGCTCCCTCTGAGGCTCCAGGAGCGCTGGGTACGATTCCTGATTGAGGGGCTGAGACAGGTCGAGGTGCTCCAGGTCAGAGTCCAGCTCCCGGGCTCTCCTTTCCAGCTCCGTCAGGCTGAGCTCCGAGGCTGCTGAGGAGGGAGGGTGGGACCCTCCGAACCCGATGGGGGGTCGGAGGAGAGGCCAGCGCTGCAGGGAGCCCGAGAGGGAGTCTGCATCGCCTATTGCTCCTCCTCCTGCTCCTCCTTTATCCCAACCGTCATCCCACAAAGTGTTGACCATATCAAGGACAGCGTCCCAGCTCTCCACCCCTCCTTCCTCGCCAAGTGTGCCTCCTTCTCCTCCCTCCGCCTCTCCTTCTTCTTTCTGTAATGTCACCACCACCTCCTCCTCCTCCTCCAAGCCTCGCCCAACAGTTTCATCCCTTATCTTCATACTTTTCTCCTCCACTTTTTCAGGAGTTATCTCGATATCTCTGCCTTTTTTCGCTTCCTTGTACTTGTTTGCTTTGTCTTGGACTTTCAATTCGACTGCCATCTCTGCTCTTTCTTGTTTTGTTTCCTCCACCAGCCCCACCCCACCCTTCTCTTTGTCCATCTCCACTTTCTCCTCCTTTCTGTCTTTCTCTTCTTTCCGCTCTTCATTCCCTTTCCTCTCCTCCTCAGTCTTGTCCCCTTGTATTTCTTTGCTCTTGGATCTCTTTGGCTCCTCCTGCTCTCTGCAGATCCTCCAGTGCTCCAAGTTCTGCTCCTTCAGCGAAGCCCTGCCCACCAAACTGGACCCCAACCCCGGCTCCTGATGCGAGGGCTCTTTGAGCGAGCATCGTCCCACAATACTGGTGGAGTTTGTTATATTTGATAAAGGGTTCTCTGAGAAGTGGCCTGCACGGAGGTGGCCGAGTGGGCGTCTCTTCTCCAGCGCAGAGAGGACGGAGGGGAGGGGGGGGAGGATGGGGAGATTGTGGAGTGCTCCACCTTGACGAACGGTCCTCTTTCTCACGATGATTCGGCGAGGCCACGTGGACTCGATGCCTTCAGCTGGGCCTGTTGATTCGAGGTCTCCAAGCGCCCTGCTCTGCCGCGGGCTGACCACACCTGGCCGCAGGCCCGTGGCGGTGCCTGGTCGAGTCCTGGAGCTGGACTTGGAGGATTTGGACTTCTTGGATCGTGAACTTTTCTCCACATGGCTGGATTCGGTTTTATCAATGTTGAAAGTCTTTTTCTCAGGTTGATCTGCAGCAGGAAGCTTGGTTTTATCTTCGGCCGCAGCACAGGTAGGACCCTTGTCTGCGGTCTTGGTGCTGTTGGCTTCAGTGTCAACCCCGCGCTCACTGTTAGTCTTATTTCCTGTCTCACTGCCAGCTCCACCTTCTACTGCTGCCTCAGGCTTAGATGTAGGAGCAATTGTAACATCGGTCTCAGGTTTTTCCTCCATCCTGGACTCCGCTGCGGCAACAACTTCCTTATTTACTTTAGCTACTTCAGCTTCTGCCTCACTCTGTCTCTCCACCTTCTTTGAAGTTGCCTTAGTCTCTACCTCTGCTCCTCCCTGTGGCTTCATCCCTGGACCAGATCCAGCTGCAGGATCTGCTCTAGCTCCAGGCTCATCCCTGCTCTCAGTCACATTTGACGGTGTAGCTTCAGCGATTGGTTCTGGTTTCGCTACAGCCCTTCCTGATCTTTCTCCACTCTTTGATGACCCTGCCCTGTGTACCTCCTTGTTTGCAGATGGAGCCATATTTTCCCTCCCCACCCCAGACTGCACTTTTCCTTCCAAATCCCGCCCCCCTGGTCTTGTTTTTACCTGGGAGCCCATCCTCGTTTCGTTTTTAACGCTGGGCCTGGATCCATTGTCATACTTGCTCCAGCTCTCAGCACGATGGTGTTCTTGTATTCCTGCCCTCATTTCAGCCTCCATCACATTTCTACCCCCAACCTCGCTCACTAACCTTGGCCCACACCCAGATTTACTATCAACCAACACCAAACCCACACTTCCATTGTCGTATTTGGAAACCATGACCCCTCCCACACCTTCAGGGCCGACCTTTGACCCAGCTCTGTTCCTACCCACCGCCCCAGTGCCCATTCTGGGGGCAGCGCTGGGCGAGGGTGAAGGAGAGGGCTGGGGGAGCAGTAATGGCGTTGTGTCGAGACCCTGTTCGGACTCCAGAAACACAGAGTCTCTGTCCGAACGCAGAGGAACTGGTCGGCCATACCCGAAGGTCGCGAAAGATGTTTCCCTCCTCTCCCGTTCCCGTGCTCGCTCCCTCTCCAGCCTTCCCCTCTCCCTCTCTCTCTCCCATTCTCGCTGAGCCCACCCTCGCTCCATCTCCCTCTCTCTCTCCCTCTCCCACTCCCTTTCTCGCTCGCTGCGTCCCCATCCTCCTCCTCCCCCTCCTCCTCCTCGATCCCTGAGGTCCTGCTCCAGGTCGTGAGCAGACAGTTGGACCAGCGGGGAGCGGTAAGGGGATCTCCTCAGCTCTTGGGGGGGTGACAGCCTGAGGCTCTGGGTTTGGGAGTAATGCCTGGGCTGGATCACGTGGGGAGGTGAACAGCGTAAACTCTGAGTCTGGCTGGGTCGAGGTTTGGCGGGGGAGAAGAACACCGGAGTGTGGTAGCCCGAGGAGAGAGGGGAGCCAGAGAAGGGAGAAATAAGGGGGGAGGTGAGGGAGGAGGACTGCCCCCCAGCTGGAGGGTAGTGCCCCGGGTTTAGATATCCACCTCCTCTGTCCATCATTTCAGATGTAGTCAGCTCCAGACACTCCAGGTGCTTCGGAGGCGTCAGGACTTTCCAGGAATGTCGACCGTCTCGGCTCTTTGTGCTGTCTCCATGGTGATGGTGGTGGTGATGGTGGTGTTTCTTTGAGGAGGAGGAGGACACACCCGGAGCTGAGAATGAAGACACAGAGGGAGAAACCGATCGGGTGAACCGCCCCGGCGAATGACAGCCACCGTCATCTCCGTCCTGACCGCCGAGCTTCAGCGAATCATAGATGGCTCGCTCATCCAAGCGTCGAACAAAGGAGGGGTTTGGCGTTAAAGACCGTGGCTGCGAGTCAAACATGTCGGGGGGCGCTCTGCTGACTCGGAGCGAGCCACTCGTAGAGTAGCTAAAACTGCCCTCGCCGCAACCGTCTCGCCGTATGGACCCTCCAGGGTGGTGGTGGTGATGGCTGTCAATCTGCTGATTGATGCACATAGTGTCATAAATGGATCGCTGGGGTACGTAGCCATCCCCGTATCCCCCCTCCATCCCCCCATCTCGCCCTCCCACTCCACCATCCCCAATTCCATGTTTCTCCAGGCAGCAAGAGCTTTTCCTGAAACACCCGGGACGGCTGAGAGGCTTGCCCATGATTGGTTGGATGGCTGAGGGTGGGAGGGGTTGGTGGGAGTCACGGGTGAAGCTTGAAGAGCGAATTGTGAAGTCGTTAATTTGACTAAATCTAAAAGAAAAATTCAGGCAGTGAAGGACACATGGCAACTGGGTTTGAGACGGCCATGCCAGAATAAAACGTCACATTCAAAAACATGTTCCTGACGTGTGTTCTCTCTGTTTTAATGAGAAGTCAGGAGCATCTCTGATGATCAAAGTATGACACTCCTGCAAAAAAGTGGCTGTCCCGTCAAATAATCCATGACATAACAACGGTGCAAACAACATGAGGAATCCGACTCTGAGAAATATTCCAAACAGCTTTCGGAAAACAGCAAGAAAAGATGAAACGGGTCCAGTTTTTATGTCCACACAGTTGCTGTTTTTAGCTCATCTTCTCTCCCACTCTCCCCCCGATGTGCCTGCATTTGTATTTATTCTGGCTGTTTATTGTTCTGTGTTTGTTCGCAGCCAATTAAATCTTCATCCAGCAGACCGGCAGTCCGTCAGACAGAGCGACGGTGGATGGACGACTGAATCCAGTCAAAGCCTCTCGTCTCATTCTGGCCGTACTCGATGATTAGCTTCGTCTGGCTGTGGAGAGAGAAAGCAAATAAAAATAATTTGCATGGAAAAGAGCCTGAAAAAGTCTCTCCGTATGTATCAAAGTCAGTGAGCAGGATATTAGGTAATAATAGCAATGAACACACAATTACAGGGACTCTCATTCAGGTTAGTTGACAATAGAAATTCCTTCATTGGTGGTGCTGCACACAGTCCTGAGAGAAAAATGACCCTAACTGGGCTTGAGACTAGCCTGGATATGGCCTTTACTTTGCAGGGAACCTCTACAGAAAGATGCATTTAGCTTGTGTTGATGCTGGAGCGTGACCACTCTCAGGAAGTTAAAGTCTGAATTCGATTTCAAGTTTAATCGTAAACTGAGAGCGTTTCTCTAAAACCTTCCTCTGACAGTGCCTGCAGAGCATTTGACAAACTCAGGGGAGCAGTGTGCTGTCCAGAACATAGTGAACCATGTCCTCCAGCCTACAGAGTGCTGCAGAAATGAAACCCCGTCCACATATAAAGAAATTCATTCGTCCTGCATCACTTAGTGGCTGACAGGGGGCAGCCAGTGGACGTTCCAGGATTTGGTTGGATAGGTAACCTGCTAAAGTCCGGCAACAGTCCAAGGTGTATTCCACCTCCAGCCTGTGACAGATGGAAAATGCTCAGGTGGAAGAAGATGGATGAAAATCTATGTAACTTCCTGTCATGTGTCAGTCAGCGCCATATTTTACTGTTGTGAGCAGTCATTTCAATGACTCCCCTCAAAACTGAGATAATTCAAACTAAGCTGAGGTGATTCAATTAAGTTTGAAAATATAGGTCACTGCTGGAGCTTAAGCCTGACCAAGGGTCTAACACTAACCCTGTACCCTGTCTAAATACAACCAGGTACTTTTGGCTCCTGTACCTATTTGTGTACTTTTACTCTAGTAGATTAGGTTTTTTCCTGAGGATATCAAAGTACTTTTTGTAGTTTAATCCTAACCAAAGCTGAGATAACTCATCAACTCATTAGGTTAGAAAATCATTCAATTGTTGGGCTTAAACAAAAAGCTCCTACTCTAAAGCTAACCTGGTACTTTTCAGCCTAAACATAACTGAGTACTTTTTGATCTTAAACATAACCAAGTATTTCCTGCCCTGAAGCTAACTTAGCATAATTGAGCCTAAAGGTAACCGCATACTCGTGGTACTTAAACCAGGAGTATTATTAGCCTAAAACTAACCAAGTACTTTCTGGCCTAAAGCTAAGCCAGTATTTTTTTTTTAGCCTAAATACGACCAAGTACTTTTGGAGCTTGAACCTAATGAAGTACTTTTGTTGTCTTCACATGAGTACTATTGCTCTAGTATGAAAGTTATGTTTAGCTAACCATAGCTATGTCTTGAGCCTAAACATAGCTGAGTATGTTTTTAGTCTACATGTAACCGAGTACTTTCAGTCTAGACGGAGTCAAATATTTTTGGTGCCTCAGCCTAAGCAAGTGCTTTTTACCTAAACATTCTGGACACTGCTTTTCGTGCCTGAAGCAAATGTAACATAAAGAAAGTCGAGCCTAAAAGCAAGCTTGGAACTCGAGTCCTGACCTCGTGCGTCACAGCTGAGAGTTGCATATTTAAACCCGGCTCATTAGCACACTCACCGGCACCAACATCCACAATTACAGAGGTGCTAACATCATCCTGGCCACTTGCTGGTGCTATTACAAAAAGGCTGTTTAGCTAAACTCTTTGGACATTTTACACAGGTATAGTTCTTACAGCCTAAAAGGTGAGACGTCCTTTCAGGACACTGATGTTAATGCAGCACCAGCTGCTTTAATGCTCGATGAAAATAAGTTTAAAATGGCCTCAATATTCCTGCAAATTATCCATTTTAATTTCAGAGCTGATTTTCCATTTTTGGTGTAAGGTTTAATGCACTAAAGTGGTCCATCACATAGCATTCTTTAGCACGTCATAGACTTTCACAAACAGGATGTATTGAGTTCAGGTCTAATTATTAAAACTCAGGGTAACTATGTCTGCCCTGCAAGGGGCCAAAAGGGCAAATGTGTCTTAGTAAGCAGTATAAGGTGCCTGCTTTAAGCCTGTATTTGTATAGTGCTTTACTAGTCCCTAAGGACCCTAAAGCGCTTTACGCATCCAGTCACCCACCCATTCAAACACACATTCACACACTGGTGATGGCAAGCTACATTGTAGCCACAGCCACCCTGGGGCGCACTGACAGAGGCGAGGCTGCCGGACACTGGCGCCACCGGGCCCTCATCCAAGTGGATGATGAATGAAAATAAAATTACATAAAATAAACGAACAGCTCCTCCTGCACCCGATTTTGCACCTTGTTAAATTAAGACTCGGTTACCTGAGAGGGTACAGTCCCGAGGACAAACTGTACCAGTAAATGTACAAGAAGCTAATTTATTTTCTGCAAAAGGCTGTTGAAATGTTGACATCCAGCACACAAACTGAGAGATGTGCTAACCTCAGAACCACAGCAGACGAAAAAAGTTCAAATCACAATTTACAGATTCACAAACTGAATGTGGAGAACTTGTCATCTCCACATGAAGAGAACTGATTGACTCGTGTTCTGAACATCTTCAGAAAGCTTTTCACAGTCCTCGCACTCATACCCGTCTCCAGCGCGACGGTGAGCACTCGGAGCTGTCTAATTTCCATCAGCCGTCAAAGAAGCCTATTGATAGTTGAGAATAATTCCAGGTCTCTCTAGCTCTTTCAGCCTTCGTTCTCAAGCATCCTCTCCCTCTCCTGCTCTCTTTCATCGCTGCCACCGCCACCTGCTCTATTTTTCAAACCAATCAATAGAAAAGCCAAAACCTTATCAGCGTGGTCACAGTCAGTCAATCCACTCCGTCGATCTCAGTCCCATCCTGCTGGCGTGCTGTCATCCCGCTTCAAATCAGCATCCTCGTTTGTTTTTCTTAACTGGCATCTCTGCCCTGTCGCCGCTCTCTCTCTCTTTATCTCTGCTGTTTCTCTCTCTCTCTGCTGTGAATCATGCCTTCTGTCAGTGGAAGGTTTTTTTGACAAGCGCTCTCTCTGCCAGCCAACACACCAACGCAAACCCTCCTCCTCCTCCTCTCCCTTTCACTCTCTCTCCCTTCGAGCTTTTCTTCTCCTCGACTCAGCCTCCCTCCCTCCCGTTTGCACTCCACACAGCTTCGGGGCTTTACGAGCTTTGGAGCTGCAAAGAGACCAACTTCTCCTCTCCATCTGCCTCTCTTTCCTTTCCATCTCATCCCTCGTTCATCATCACTCTTTATCTCTCCCCTTCTCTCATTACCTTCTAGATTTAGTTTGACCTGAGTGGGTTACCCGTGGGAAATCATCGTCATTATACGTTTTAGAAATGAGGCAACGAAGGAGAAAGAAGGACAGTCAAATAGATCTATCTATCTATCTATCTGTTCTGTATCTATGCTTCGGACTCCCACACTCTCTTTCTTCCCTGGCTCGCTCCATCCCTCTTGTAGCCCTCTCAGTTTGCCCTCTACCTCCCACTCTTCACCTCCGCGTTAATGCAACAACACGCATCGGTGTGGAGGCGGCAGGGAGAGTAAGAGCGACACACAAAGAAACAGCAACATTGGGTACGCACATTACTGTACACTGCAATTTAAAAGCATCGTCATCAGTGGCAGCGTTTGACCATAAACTGCTGTGGATGGGTTTATTTTTTACCACCAGGAGACATAATGCACGCCTGCACCTGTGTGCTACGACAGGTACGCGCTCTGCACGCGCTCTGTTTGGTTCCATTTTATGCTGAATGAATAGAACAGGAAATGTTCACCATGTTTGGGCAAAATAAAAATTAAATAACACACATTAATAAATGGAAAAGAGCCACCCACAGCAACACAAATTTCCTCCACTAAAGAAGAAAATGTCAGCATGCTACCCACGCGCTTTGATTGACAAGTGAGCTCAAGAGATCAGAAACGCGCCGCAGTCACACTTTAAAACCACTGCCAAGGCTCCACAGTCCACTTTAGTAAAAGCTTTTCCTCCCAGGAAGCTGCTCTGCTGGATGTTCATATTAGATGTGGATAATTTCAAATAATGAAATTGCTGCGAGTGCAAGCGGGAGTTTTGACTCTTCCATCCACTGTTCCCTCGAAGCTGAGCACGTGAGCACCGCTGACACAGTCTCCCCGCACAGAAAATCAGCAAAATAAAATAAATACATGTATTTACTTTAATTCCAATTCAGGCTGGATGATTGTATGTGTGGGGAGACCGTGTCAGCAGTGCGCGATTGCTCACGCGCTCAGCTTAGAGGGAACATTGCTTCCATCTGTATGATGTCATAGAAGGGGCGTGCCGTTAATATGGTCATCACGGAGGCCTATAGAGGTTTGAACCATCGGTTACCAGGGAAACATTATTATTCCCTGACTGGTTGGCGACTGGTTGGTGAGTGGTTGCTGGAGTTTGCTGTGAAATCATTGGCTAAAACCAGAGGTCTCTGTAGTTTGCATGGACGGTAACTTCTACCTTCCTTTAGCATGTCCAGAAACACGGCACGAGATTGATTGACCATGGTCTACAGCCAATCAGGACGCAGAACACAATGTGCTGTAAAAAAAAACAACAACAAAAAAAACCATGCTAAATTGCAGTGGTGCAACGGATCAAAAACGTCACGGTTCGGATCAGTTTTTGGATCAGCATCCAAACATCATCAATTCAATTCAATTTTATTTATAAAGAACCAAATCACAACAGCAGTCGCCTCAAGGTGCTTTATATTGTAAGGTAGACCCTACAATAATACACACCGGTCATTATATCGCACTCCGCTGTGATACAATGAGCTGTCACGGTCACGTAGCTTTCTGTTGACCGTGACAGCTCCACCCATTTGTAGTAGTTAGAGCAACAGAAGATGCCTGGGACAGTTCAGCCATAACTTTAAACTTTTCCCGCTCATACATGCTTGGAACGATCTTGCCACTAAAGTGGACGCAAACGACATATCATAGCGTGGCTCAAGCACGTTCATCACAGTTTAAACCCCTTGTTTTGCACAACAGAATACGGCCTCCCGTCTGCAGCTAAACACCCCAACAGCTTCTGTAATAGCTTTAGCCAGTTGGACTGGGCAGCAAAGGGCTGCTTAAATACCGCACACTCCTCTGCTCCTGCACTTGGACCACTAGCGCTGGCCAGAACTATCGCTTGACAGACCCACCACGCCACCATAAACATACTTTTTTTTCTTCTTTTTCGAATCCTCGGATCACGTGCGTACCGAACCGTGGAGTGGGATCGGTTCGGATTACGGATCAACCGCGATCCGCTGCACCACTACCAAATTGCAAAAAAAAAAATCTGTGAAACAGTGAAAGGTGAACCACATTATAGTGACCGCTGCATAACAAAATATTTAAAAGTTAAAAACTTTTTTTAAAAGTTTCTTTTGAAGTTTGCTGTTTCAGTCGGGTAAGAACTTTTACTCTGAAGCTGGTTTTTGTCATTTTTCATGGAAAACAGTTTCATGACTGCTCGGCTGTTATTAGCAAATGTTTTCAGATAAGTCAGTGTCTGCCACACTGACTGTGGGCTACCAAACCATCACAAAGGAGGTTTTTGGTGCCACTGATACTACCCAACAATCACTCACCATCTGGTTGAGTATTATACACTCTTCACCTGTTAGGATCATGTGACCCAAAGCACACAACTCTGGCTGTGTGAGGGGGGAGCCAATCAGAAGATCAAAAAGCTTCCTCTGGTCTCAACTTTTGAGAGAGAGGGTGAGGAGGGGCTCAGAGTAGACCGCTACTCCTCAAAGGAGCCAGCTGAGGAGGTTCAGGTGTCTCCTTGATGCCTCGTGTCCATATTGGCTGAAAACTCCTCACTGCCCCTTTAGAAGAGCTGGAGGAAGTGGGTGGGGAGACGGAGGCCTGAGCATCCCTGCATGGATGGATGGATGGAGTACTTTCCCGAATCCATTACTGCAGCAAGGCTATTTAGGCTCACTTAGTATTTAGCCAGTGGATGGTTCTGAAAGCCAGCAAGAGCCCTCACTGCACAGTCGAACACTGAGGCAGTAGTTAACATACATTAGAATGATTTCATTTATTCTCTGGAGGGAAAATCTTTTCTAAAAACGTATTTCATTAAAACTGGGCCAGTCGTCTCTGTGACGCTCGTGTGATTGACACACAGACTGACTCACACTCGTCTTTATTATTATGCTGGCTTGCAATGTGAGCTCGAGCGGTGTTGACTCTGCGTGTCTGCTGAGACAAGATGGACAGAAACATTCGTCTGTGTGAGAGCAGCCTGTAAATCTGTGTGCACACCGCACAGCTGGGCTTCATAAGAGGAACATCTGTGAGAGCATGAAGCCCCGGCACAAAGTGTGAGGAGCTTAGTGCTTCTCTATATTCAAATCTACACCTTTACGTGAAGTTGTCAGTCTCCCAAAAGTCATAACTGAGGAACTGTGAGGGCAGCAGTAGCAGGGAGCATTAGCTGATAACTCCACCCTCACATCCAAATACGGCCATTTCCTGAAACACAAAAACAACACGGCAGCATCCAAAACACGACCTCTGAATCTTAAAAATCAGGCTCCAGAAACCAAAGACAGCAGCACGCACCTTTTAGATACAGTCTTTGTCATGTTACATATTCCAGCGGTGCTTTATTCGCTCTGTCAGTCACGTCTTTCTCCGTCTGGAACAAAAACCTCATGCTGTACAAACAGCTGATCCTCTCACTCTTTCACTCCTTCCACGTCATCTGTAGAAAATGTTGAAACGCCGTCAAATCCTGCAGCCGGCTCCCAGTAAACAAATGAATCACCTAAATCAAACGCTTGGCTGCCATTTCAGCTGAAACAGAACACAGATAAAAGACGAGGTTCGAAATCTATTCAGACTCATCCCAGCAGGCCTCTGGGGCAGCATATGGTGGCCTGTAACTGACACATATACTACAATCATGCTTTCACTGTGAGAACAGCCAGGCACAGCAAAGAGCCAGCATGAATGTCTTACAAAATATATCACATTACATCCATTATGATATATGGCACGTCCAAGCTTCGATGAACAGGAGGTGATCTGAGAAATGCATGTGCAGTAATTTATGCACAGAAAGACCCTCACATGCCTCGTTCGATGCTCCAATCAGGGATCTTCTCTGCAGCATTAATCAGTTTTCACTTAGTCTGTGATTTTTCCACAGACTGTAAATGCAAGATGGACGTTCAGTTCTGAAACCAGCAACCATAAAGCCGTCTGAGCTCAGCTGATCAGGACACTCATTTTCTCACAAACCTCAATACAATCAGACTTCAGAGGAGGCGCCCCCTGCTGGGCGTTACAGAGAGAAGGTTTGAGGCCCTGAGCTTATAGCTGGTCTCCGGAGCTGATCTGTACTTTTTAAATGTTCGCATTTCATGCAGCTCACCAGAAAAATCAGTGAGAGGCGGTAAAATCGTTCAGGTCTGAGGTCAGGTCTGTTTTGGCGTCGGCAGCGTGATTAAACGGTGGTGAAGGCGAGCGTTACCGTGGTCACAGTGGGCCTTAATGAGCCCCGCTCCCTGCTGCTCGAGCAGCCGAGGATAAAAACAGCCAGCTGAAAATGACCGAGCGTGATTCTTGGTGTTTCTGTAATGAGGTTTCCTGGTTTCATCCCAAGTGAATGTTGTGGGCCGCAGCGCCCTCTGGTGGATGCTCACTGATGCTGACGATGTAGTGTGAAGTCAGCTTCTCACCTGGTTTTTCATGTGAGTAGTGGAGGCTGTCGGAGTGAAAAATGATCACACAGGAAGCAGCTGCACACTCACCACACATGAATGCACCATGTACGTGTGTGTGTGTGTGTGTGTGTGTGACCACATATGCATGTCCACCATGCACCCTTAAAGTTTTACAGTAAGTGCAGCCATCAGAGCAGCAGTGGGGGGTTAGACCTATAGCGTCTGTAGCTTCTACACACGCTGCAGAGTTTCTGATTAACATCAACGCTCACTCTGCAGCTCTGTCTCCCAAAACTGCAAACATGAAGTCTTCCTGCCACACACACTTTAATTTGAGCTATCAGTCCAATCTTAATAGTTTCTTTGGGCAGGAATGTCTTCAGAGGGAGAGATTATACATGAGAGAAGAGATAAGCTCAGACAGGAGTAGGTGTAGAGAAGCAAAAGCAGAGTTTCTATTGT